TACCCCATCATTGTGGATTATTATTCCCACTGCATTTGGTGATACCTGTCACTCATTTCTCACTTCATGATCTCTAGCCTCTGAATGTGGAAACCAGAGCATCCACCAGCTGGTTTCCATTGTTAGAACTCAATTATCATTTATTTAGGCAGTGAAAATAAAACTGATAGAGGGAACCATTTAGTTTAAGGAGGAGTTGGAGTGGGAGATCAGATGATTTTAAAGGTCAGCTTTGAAACTGCGTGTTAGGTTGAAACCTGTGTAATTAGGTATGTTTTCTCATACATACACAGGTTTCCGTCACGTTATTGTAGATGCATTCACTTTAGGCAAGGTTTTGCAAGAACATAACCCTAGCATAAAGCAAGGGAAGCACAAGGGTATAGTTAGCATGCATTCATCATACCAACTTGCACCTCCCCTATGAACAAGTTTGCAACTCCCACACCCATTTGTCTAGATGCTGCACAAATCTTTCAATTCAAATTTAGACAGTGTTGCTGGGAAAGGAATTGCATATAGATCTGCACTGCTGTGCTGAGATCTGAATACAGAAGAGCCTTATGGTTCCACTGTGACTGCAGTTGGTTGCTGAGCTGTGAAATATTCTGAGTTTGTTGAGCTGAGCTTTGCTGGAGGACAGCATCGATGCCTAATTCTGCTTGAACTGCCCACTTCCCTCCTGGCAAATGCTACAACACCCTCATTTAGGCCTTGTAACCTTGTAACAGAGCCCTTTGCAACTGTTTTTCATTCACGTACAACAAGCTGGGGACTTTCCCTCACAGCATTGTCACCCTGTGCAAGCTGCCAGTTGCCCATCAGCTGTTTGATGGAACCCCACCCCGCCCCTAAAAACCCCTTTCAGATGGATGGTATAGAAGGCTCCTCCCTAACCAACCCTTGCCCATTCCTGTACAGACTTTCAACTGGAAACTTTCATATGCACTTTGTTCTAGTTCATCAGTTTGTCTTCCTAGCTGTAGGAGAAGCTTTTTGAGTTAAGGGCTCCTAGGAATGGAGAGCAGGGGGCACACAAAAGAAGAGGCAGAAAAGTGCTCCCTAACAACATGGAGTCAAACTTCATTCAGCCTTTACCACCCCTAGCAGCAAAGGCTGTTGTGAGGGAGGTAACTGGGAAGAAAATCACTCCCACCCATCTTGGTGGCGGCTTCAAATTGAACCAGCTTTGCTTGCCTTTAAAAAAGAAGGTTGGCATTTAGGTGGGGAAGGCATATCAGCAAAAGCCACAATAGACTGAAAGGAGAGGCCTGCTGGCCAAATCTGATCTTTGGATCAATTTTCTCATCTCTGCATTAGGAAACATGGCTGATTTCTTTTCAAGAGGGACTTGCAACATCCATCCTATTCCTTGAGCAGATTTTCTGGTTACAGACTTGCTATTTTATAATGCGATGGAGCTTGCCTTTTTGTTGTTGTTAAAATGAGTCACCACAGGCCTTTGCTTAATATTTTTCTAGGTCTCAATCTGTTGTGGATCCTGGAGTGCTCAAGCGCATGGATAAAAATGAAGAAGAAAACATGCAGCCATTGCTTTCGCTTGACTAGCAGTCTGAGCATCAAATATGAATTAGGGTGGAAGGTATTGCTTTTCAGAGCCATCCACTGAAAAAGAATGTACAAGCTGGAATCCTATTTTTCATGTTAACGTAGCATATTGTAATGAGGCAGCAGGTTTTGCCAGGCATCCTAGCTACCACTGAGCTGGAAAACAGGGTGGGGGAAAAAAATAAACAGGAGAAAATATCAATAATATATTCTCTTAAGTGCCAACCTGTTTGTAAATAGTCTTTTCCTTCTCTCTGCATTTGTAAGTAATGATAGGAATATAGTACAGGAAAAAAAAAATAGAGTGGCCATTAATGTGCCAGTTGAAGGCACTATAAAAGAACAGAACGAACTCAGACAAAAACAAAAATCAGATCCTAGATAGACGTCATCATTTTTATACAAAGCCATATTTCAGCTGCCATACTGCTTTATTAGTTTCCCGCAGTTTTCATTTAGCAAGATAAGATCTGTAGACATTGTAACTCAGATTCACTGGTTGAAAAGATTGCCACAAACCTGGCCACAGTTCATAACAGAGATTATAAAATAATTTACTGTGAAAAAAAGGAATCGTTATACGTAGAAGCAAGAAGCTAAATACCATTCCTTGGTGTATTTTTTGAGACATCTGATTTTCACACACAGTCTGGATTTTGAGAGCTGTTTGGTTCCTGAACATGAAACAAGCCTAATCTTGGTTCCTTGTCTGAGAACTTCTATCCTTGTGGAACCTGTTTCCTCTGCAGTCTGCTCCTTCTACTTGGCAGATGGATGAATGATTTCTAAACTGTATGAAACAAAAGTCTGGATACATATCTATATATTTTTACCAGTCTCTATACATATAAAGTGTCATTGGTAGATAAGTATATTTAATCAAGGATTTATAAAAAAAAATCATACCTATTTGGTGTGCTTAGAGTTTATTATATATTGTATATTAAGGCAATGTCATTGTTAACTTAGTAAAATATTAAGTACATCATCCTACTTGGAGCAAAACTTAATTGTTAGAAGAATGGTGTGCTACAATGCCATGCTAAGGCCATCTTTTGTTTGTGATGTAATTGTGTAGATGAGATATGTGCCATATTAGACTGAAATAACATTTTTACCTCAGAAGATCAAACAGTACCCAAAGTGGACTGTAGTTTAGGAGTCTGTCTTCATCTTTGATTGTGCTGATATGCATGTGTATTTCTGCTGTACATCAAAAAAAGAATGTGCACCCTACAACTCTCTTTCTTTCGGAAAGATTTAATATTACAGTGGAACAGGAATGACAAGATCTCTTGCTTGCAAAAAAAAAAAGAAGTGTTATGAATAACCTTTCAAGGACTTATTAATCAGTTGAAGTTACTTGAGATCCTTGACAATGCTGGGATTGATTGTAATCCTAGTTTTAGAGGTCTCCAATTTAAAAAAAAAAAGCATGAGTGTATTGTGATCACTCTACTCCATTCAGAGATAATCTCTGCAGGATTCAGGGATGGAGTATAACATCTCATTTTGACTCTACCATTGCTGTGTGATTCAGATATTTACCCTTTTCATCAGAAGCATGTCTCCTGGTGAGTCATTTCCATTACAAACTACTATTAATGTAATGTGAGGCTATAGTATACAATATACCATTTTATGTGCAGTTGAATGCTAAGATAAGAGAGGCCTATTTGCCTTCATTTCTCTTTATCCTGCGTACATTTTGACAATTGTGTTCTTCACACTTACGGGCATTAACTTGGTTCTGTTATTAAATCATCCTCATGCTGGTAGCATTGAGCTACATCCAATGTTACAGCAGAAACTTCCATCTCTCTTGTGCTACGTCCTCAGGAGGACACTTGTAGGGGTGAGCATAAGGCTACAGTGGAGAAGTTCCACCAGGAATCTCTACTTTCTACATCCAAAACATCCTAAGCAGAAAATCCTCAGTGTGGGAATGTTGGAATCAGTGCATCAGAACTGATTGCTGTTGATAGGAATGACATAGCAAGACTGATGTTGATCACTTCACAGTTCAAGGCATGACTCTGAAACAACAGTTGTATCTTATATTAGGATATGTTTCAGCTTCCTTGGAGGGATTACAAAAAGTAAGCAAAAAGTGAAGTCTCCTTCACATTGAGCTTGACTCATGGTGATTATTCATGAAATTTTCCTTAATAATCACTGCTACTGCCTTTTTAAAAATTTCTTTATTTTTGTTTCCAAGTCTAGCTTATAGCTTAGACATTTCCTGATGGTTTGTTATCCAAATATTAACCAGATCCAATCTTACTTGGCTTCCCTGGTCAGCCATATGTTACCATGTGTGGTCACTTGCTGAGGCATTACGGTACCTAGCAGTAAATTCAGAATTACTGCTGAGAATATATTGAACTGGCAGTCACAACCAGTCTACTTTCTTTAGTCAGGTACTTATATAAATCATGTTTTGAAGCATATTTGTCACGTTCATACTTTACTGTTTTAGGTGCGTATTTAAAAAGGAAATGACCAGTTTCTTGGCATCTAGTTTTGGCTTCAACCTATCTTCTTGTATCTTCTGCCCCACCAGAACTTCCCATGTCTGTACTTACCCAGTATAATTCCATGCTAGTAGTGAGTCAGTTAGTTTTATATTTCTCCTTCGAAGGTTCTTGAACTTAAAAGTCTTCTGTGCACCAACAACACATTCTTGCTTTATAGGATTAAAAAAAAAAAAACAGCTGGACAGTTAGGACCTATAACCTGGCAGAATTATGAGGGTTGGAAAAATATCCTTTTGGATATAATGGTCAGCTATACAACTGATAATTATACAGATACAATCCCCCCCCCACTGTAAAATAAGAACAAAACAAAGCCCCTCAGCTTTTCAGTGCATTCCCTGTGATCCTGCAAAATTTTGAGGGCAACCACCAAAATACCTTCAAAAGATATATCATAATTTTTATGTAACAGAAGGGGGGAATGTTTAATATGTAGGGAGTTACATTTAGTGTAATTATTTAACTCTATTTAATTTTAATTACATGTTAATTCATCCATTTCATCTAGATTAATTAAATCAAATTTAGTATTCTGGCTATGCCCAATTTTTGGAATAATGCCATTCAAAATCCAGTTGTGAAGATTAGTCCAGAAGAGAGTGGAATGAATAATCATTGGGCTGGAGCGAAAATGTGATTAAATTGCCTTTTAATTCCTTCTGAAGATGATTTGAGAGAGAATCATACAGAGAACTTCCATACAACACCCAAATCTCCCCCAAATGGTTTGAAGAACCATCAGCCTATAGTCTTCACTCATGCTATAATCTTGAAATACTGAGAACAAGTCCATCAGTGCTATCCCACCAACTGATCATTAGGAGCTTGTAAAAAATGTCATTCAGTCTCATTTATGCTCATGCCAGTTTTGGAGCAGCAGAAACCCTCTTCACCTTCACTGCAAACCTGAAACGATGAAATGCCTTTCTCCTTTTCAGGGTGTGTTGTCTGTTTGTTTATAAAAAGAAAAGAAAAATCTACCAGACCATCATTTTTTCATGTTATTGGAAACCCCACTAAGAGTTGTGAAGGTGGGATGAGAGAATGTCATCCATTTTTATTTATTTATTTATTTAGTAGACTTATCCCCACCCATCTCCCCCCAAA